TGTTGTGAAGTGTTGGACAACCACCGGCCATCAATAGGCTGTTGTGTATTATAAGGTTGAATATTTATATGGAGTGTTAGCAATGTTCTGGACTCTATTTTCATATTTTAGGGGCCAAAAACAGCTTCATTGGACTTGATTAATGTTTTTGGGTAACCTAGCTTGAGGTTAAAGTTTTTGGGCAAGTTTTGTTGGGTAGTGTTGGACCACCACCATCAATAGGCTGTTGTCTATCATAAAGTTGAAGTATTTGTATTGAGTGTAAGCCATGTGTTGAACCATATTTTCATATTTTAGGGGCCAATAAATATGCTGGTGGTAAGTGAGGTGTCAAATAAAATGACAGGCACTATATCAACGTTTTACTATACATGTGTTTCTATTGATAGACAGTTGCAGTATTATAATAACATACATATAGGCGAGCTATGCTGTTCTCCGACAGCTCTTGTTCCATTAAGCAGTTTTCCAGAGATGACAAATAAATCTCAGAATCAAATTAAAAATTTAACTCACCCAGCTGAAATGTGTTGTGATTGGGTTGACATCCTGGTCATTGGACGTTGTGACCTTCTGACCTTTGAACTCGGATGATACATGTACATTATAATTGAAATGTGGAGTTCATATGTACATACCTTTGCTAAGATATCAGATTCACTTGATAGATGGATGTATATGAAATGAACATTGATATTTCAGATAAGCTTAATAGGCCTAATATTGTGGAAGGTTGATTAACACATTCCCACACCTAAAGATACATTTGAACTCTTCCAATTCAAAGGTTGGAATAGTTCATTATGAAATTTCAGGGGTGAATGAGTTAATATATAAATAGACTCTTTCTTTATTATAAAAATGGGTCTATCTCTTGTAGATATTCATGTAATACTGTCCTTTTAACCTGTCTTGTTGATTCTACTAGAAAAACCAAATCACTGGGTGAAAATTTGAAAGATTGTCACAATTAAGTCCTAATGTCTTATCTTATTACTTTCATATCAATCTGTGTTCTTACGAACTGGAGACAGTGTCGGTCTAATTTCTATTCAGTTTGACTATAGCTACTTACTTAAATGTTATATTTACAAATACTGTAGAAATTTAAACCTTATCCAATTTAAATGTCATTTCCCTGTTACATTGTCTTTTATCATTTAATTTTTTAATAGGATTGTTTTCAGGTTGGATATGTTTTTTTATAAAAAGAAGTGAAGTTATAAAGACTGCACTAATAAATTGTTAGAAAATACAGTGAAATTAAGTCGCAGTATGATTACAACAAAGGTACGGTATTTTACCAGTGATAAGCCCATGCCCGTTAATAAGCCCACCCCCTGTAATCATTTATTTGTATGATATCTACAGTATAGCTGCTATCTCGATTTAACCCATTCACCCCTAAATTCACACGTAAACCTTACCAAATCAAATACTGGGCAAGTCCAGTTTAAATATGTAGGGGTGAATGAGTAAAGCAACACTGATAATAGATCTACTATCATTTGTCCCAACAGGAGTCCAGGGTTACAGTCAGTTTCAATTTCTGGTACAAGTTATCTGGTCCATGTATTGTAATTAACTGTGACCTATATTCATAAGTTAAAATAAAATCTCTGTATAATGTGTCCCACAATTCCATTGTCACTACAGTTAAGGAGCCCTGTCCTACTGCAGGCAAAAAACACTGAAGAGTTCCGTTGTAGTTTACTGTGAAATCAGGTATTTTCTTGGGGCCCTTAAGTTTCATGGTTTCCTGATAAAACACCATTTCATAGGTACATGAATTCATGGGTTAATACAAGTAACCACTCAGACATGGAACTGCTTTATATCAAAGTTACAATTACTTCATAGACCTATAAATGCATTCATTGATGAAGATTACGAAAAAAAAATCATTGAAATTTAAAATCCCATGAAAATTGGTGATTTCACAGTATTTGATCTTGACTGATCTCCATTTAAATTTGTTTTGTATATAAGTCTAGGGAGACTTTGCCGGTCATTTTCAGCAGCTCAGCTAGTTATATTAAAGCGACTGATTTAAGAGTTTGAGCATTTGTAGCAATGTAGGTCCAGGGTTCGACTTCCAGTCTGATCATGAACATACTGCATGTATTCCTCCCAATCCTGTTACATCATTAATTTAACTTGTTCACCCCTGGAATTTCATAATGAGCTATTCCAACCTTTGAATTGGAGGAGTTCAAATGAGTCTTCAGGAGTGAATGAGTTAACACAAGCACTCTGACTCTTGCTGATTCCTCTTTTCGTTTAATTATCAGTAGAAAATTCTGCAAGGTATAGGGTTTTTCAGAGATTATTTATTACAACTAAGTGGTACCGAGAACAAATTTTGAATGCGTAATGTTAGCTACGGCTTTAGTTGTGCTATGGAGATCCTTAACTCACTTACCCCTGAAGACACATTTGAACTCTCCCAATTCAAAGATTGGAATAGTTCATTATGAAATTTCAGGTGTGAAATGAGGTAATTATGAGAAATGTTTTCAGAGTTCCATGCATTTTATTACATTCTTTTTCAGCAATTCATAATATTACATTCTTTTGATATTTATATAAAATGCTTAACTCCATGATTTTAATATAACATCAAAATTCCGACAAATGGTATCGGTTAACATTATATATGTTGTGTCTGATGTTAATTGTACGGTAATTGTTTATCCTGCTTTGTACTTATGAAAATATCAATACTTGTCATATATAAAATGTAATGCTTGTTGGTGTATGGTATTAAAAAAAAGGAAAAACCATTAAATATCCTCAATATATTTTAGTATACATACCGGTAAGTGTTTCAACATAATTTTTGATACAACACTGTATATATATATTAGTAATGTTTTGTTTAATCAACTTTGTCAACTATTGGTCAATTAGGCCAATAAACTGATTAATCAACTACAGAATTAATGATTTTCGCAGAACAATTGTGTGTAGATATTCATTTTTTCTTCTTCTGTATAATGAGTAGAAATTTCCCAATATTTATTTCAAGCTGCCATGTTGTAATCATCAATTACTTAATAAATATTAAGCATGTTTAATTCATTCACCCCTGAAATTTCATAATGAACTATTCCAACGTTTGAATTGGAAGAATTCAAATGTGTCTTCAGGGGTGAATGAGTTAAAGGGAGGTTATTGGTTCTTACATGTTAACAATTTTTTATTTGCGTAAAAAACTCTCAACATCAGCACGGAGGATTTCACGATGTATTTTTTTTTAAGACGATGATTAATTGATCATAGGTTAGCTAATGTTAATTAAAACCAATGATTGATCATAAAAATGTTTACCAATTGAATTCCCAATGGAAACCACCACCAGACACACTGTAGATATGTATATTAGATATTACAGTAATATTGATAACTCAATGTATAATAATGTTCCTGGTCAGGTCTGGAAATCTTGTATCATCACATTGGAAATTTAGAATTTTATTTATTCCAGGCAAATATTTTGTGACACATTCTTTTTATGGATTGATATATTTCCAGGACATATTCCCAGATACATTAGTCATTTGTGCTTATGAAGGATTAAACTGTCTCTCCGACGAATGGTTGAATTTGAAAGCCGCGGCCATCTATCTCCGTGCGACATGTTCAAAATAACGTGATGGAAAACATGAAAAGAATTTATTTATTTTTCAAGAAAAGAAATTAATTGTGAATTGTTTTTTACTGGATTTTTCATGATATATACATCTTGATGATTTGTTTATGGATATAACAGTTCATCATGTACATGTTTTGTCTGCAGATCTGAAATGAAAATAATGTGACGAAAGTGTAAACATGTACAGTATATTTATGTATAATTGACGAATGTCATCATTGATATATTACAGTGTTTGTAAATGGTTTACTATGGATGACAGTATCTACACTACATTCTATACTTTACAAAATAAATCATGATATTTGTGCCTCTTTATCAGCCAGAATATTCAATTGCTACCAGTATTTGACTTTGAATGTGACAGTGTGATTTTTTTCCTGTTGGAGATTACAATAGTTATAATAATATTGGCCTATCAGCCAAACCGTACAGTGAGATAATTATGATAAGACGATGTCTGGTTTAACTTCCTGGTACGTCACTCTCCGAGATACAGCTGCTGGGAACCTACAAATTCAGGATTCTGACATTAAATCTACAAATCTTTCCAATATTGATGCCATCAGTGAAAAAGACACTAGTATGAATATTCATGAAGCTGATGGGGACTATCAAATGACTGATATGAATATTCATGAAATCAATCCTGATTTGCATATTCAAGATGAAAATATGTTTATTCATAATCCATCAAATGACTTTTTGGCCATGTCACATTTGTGGGATTGTTCAGCTTATGACAGAATCAGGTCAATTTATAATTATATATTCATATTAATTAATATTTTTATTTATTTTGCTTTCGTGAATTTTATACTATTCTTGTTGTATTATATTATATTCTTACTTGCTGAATATCAGGTTTTATTTTATGATGAAGTTAATAGTTTTCTAATGTGAAAAAAACCCTTTATTTTTTTGTTTACAGTGAATTTGATGAATAAAGTGTTAAAGCATGTTAATAAGAAAATAACATTCAAATAAAATCAAAACATATAATACAGTAACTGGAAATGGTTGTGATGATAATTTAAAAAATACCTGTAAACTACAGGATTAAAAGAACTTTTTGAAAAAGGCACAGCAAATTAGACATATGTCATTAATTATTTTAGATTATGATATCTTCTTAATTTGGTGTGCCATTTAAAAAAAAAGTTTTAATCCTGTATATAGTTTCCTTGTGTTTATTAGTTGAGCTAGAATTATTTGTTAGAGTGTACCTATGGACTGGTATTCTTAATATGTAATTGAACAACCCGGAGTATAGGTCACATTAGGATTCACTGAACAAAAAACAGTAAATAATTACCATTTCTTATTTTTTCCTTTCTTTTTTTAGAGAGATGGGTTTTGGGACAGATTTCCAAGGAAAAGAATCCCACGAATCCCTGCTCCGTATCCAGGACTGTGAGATCCGTGTCCTTGACAACATCAAGCGGTGCCTAGCAGTGCGTATCGACAGCGATAAGAAGTATGCCGCCTCGCTCAACACGATTGTACAGAGCGCCCAGAAACTGGACACCAACGAATTCCAGGCGCACAGTTCAGTTTTCAAGGTATTTTATTTCATATAATTTCCAAATTAAAGTGCACACAATTTTTATAAGGCTACATTAATGAATATTAAGGATCCTCATGCCATTGCCAAATACTTAATAAAATTGAAAACTTTGTATCATCACAGAAATATCTTTAATAGATCAATCCTGAAAAGAAATACTTTCTTTCAATTTTCTATGAAAATGCAATTGTACAGGTGAAATAAACAAAACAAAACAAAATATCAACGAAGTAAAAATATTTAAAATGTAGAAATATTAACTTTTTTTATCCTATAAAAATTATAAAACAAGGTATTTCAGCCGATATTAATAACTCTTGTTGGCCTGGATGTTAAAGCTTCAGGGATCTTAATGTGGGAGTAAACCGGAATACCCGGAGAAAACCCACGTTGTTGGGCAGGTTACCCTATATATATATTTTCACATCTGATTAGGGAATCGAACCCTGACCACCTTGGTGAAAGACGAGTGCGTTATGCACTGCACCACCCGACCACCCTGTGGTAGTTTTGCTTTGACAGAGGAATTAAAACATAGTTCAGATTATACAGGATGTTAGAATATTCAGGTGTCATATTTGACAGGTTTTATTAGAATGCAGATGAATGCTGTATCTCTTTATATATAATGTGTATCTTTCATCGTAGGGTTGGGACACCATTGTGAGGCAAACTGACCGGTTCGTGAAACTGCTGAAACAGAATGTGGAAGAAATGTCTTCCAAGATGATGGAAAAACTGACAGACCTCATCAACGAGAAGAAGGCATCCCGACGCCATTATCAGGAAGAACGCAGTAAACTGGACCTCGAGTTCTCAAAGGTACAGAAATCTGCATATTTGTTTACAATTCCGCAAGCTGACATAGCAAATGAAATATTTTCCGACATATCAAAAGTGATAAGAGAGTCGAAAATTTTACTTACTTGGATTCTTGATTTTGAAGTGCCACAAGTTAAAAAAATCAGATTTGTAAACCTTTGGGAAAAAATTGAGGGAATTTTTTTGTTTGTTGAATCTTGACGCTGATTGAATACAAATATTTGTTACGTTTTTAACATGTCTGTTACCTATAACTTATAAGTTATGTGTTCTCTAAATTCAAATGGAAATAATTCGGTGGAAAAAGGTGCTTCTTTCAATAAATTTAATTTCGCCGTGATATTGATTCTCACACAACTAATACTTCTGTAGATAACATCTATAAATATTGAGATAGCATCCAATCAATTTCACATTCTAAAATTTTCATGAATAAAACATATAAACGTAAGTTATTCAAATCAGTACAAAAAACAAAAAAAATATTCACAGTACTACTTGTAACAGATATGTTTTGGGCAGCTAGTGTACATGGAAATTTTCGCTGTTTTGCCGTCAGTAATGTGAGCAGAACTTATCTGTACAGCAAATATTAGTTTACAACACACTGATCACAGTCAAATGTCCATAAATCAAACTTTGAGGATTCAAATTTCTCGATGTGTCAAACTTATGACAATGTCCTGGTTTTTCTTGAATGTTTTAAACTACAATAAAGGCACGATTCTTAGGAAAATATTGAAACTTACAACTAATAAATCAAAGTTAAACAAAAACATGTACGAGAACATTAAATCCAATATTTATAGATTTCAAATTAAATTGTTTGCCTTTTGTTCTGTCATTTAACAATCATACTCAATCTTATGCAGATTTCAAAGATGTTCAAAGTTCAACATTTGTGAGTCAAAAACTTGATGTTTTGGATTTTCCCCAGTGGTCCTACAGAGTTCAAAACGTCAAAGTTTGACTGTAATTCCATGTAAAGAGTGAAAATTAACACTGAGATAATATGAATTTACCAGTGAAGTGTGCAAGTTTAACGGGGCGAAAGTTTTCAGGCATTATTGGCTAAGTGGTTATGTGCTGTAACAAATATGTTGTAATTGAGTTTCTGTGGTCTCAGGTACAAGAGGATGTAAATAAGTACAAACAGGAGTACAGCAAGTGTTTACAGCGCGTCAGTCAGGACCAGTCCAAGTTCAAAGATCTCCAGGCCAAAGGTACTGCACTCAACATACTGAACTCAATGTACTTAACAAAATAATATACTGAACTCAATGTACTTAACAAAATAACATACTGAACTAAATGTACTAAAACTTAATGTACTAATAAAACAAACTAAAGTCAGTGTTCTCAACTTATAAAAACATACTGAACTCAATGTATTTTACAAACAATACTGAACTCAATGTATTATACGATACATACTGAACTCAATGTACTTAACAAAACATACTGACCTCAATGTACTTAACAAAATCATATACTTAACTCAATGTACTTAACAAAACATACTGAACTCAATGTCCTTAACAAAATAATATACTGAACTCAATGTACTTAACAAAATAACATACTGAACTAAATGTACTAAACCTTAATGTACTAATAAAACAAACTAAAGTCAGTGTTTTCAACTTCACATACTGAACTCAATGTACTAAACAAAATAACATACTGAACTAAATAACTAAACCTTAATGTACTAACAAAACAAACTAAAGTCAGTGTTCTCAACTTATAAAAACATACTGAACTCAATGTATTTTACAAACAATACTGAACTCAATGTATTATACGATACATACTGAACTCAATGTACTTAACTTCACATACTGAACTCAATGTACTAAACAAAATAACATACTGAACTCAATGTACTAAACACAACATACTGAACTCAGTGTAGTTAAAATAATATTCTGAACTCAATGTACTTAAAATAACATACTTAGTTCACATTACTTGTTTCATAATTGTTGTAAAGTAAATATAGTGTATATGTTACATTTTTACTGTCCTTGACCGTCACATTTGACCTTGACCTCACATGTCCTTTACCTTTATAGGTAAAACTGGGGCCAAGCTGGAGGATGTTAAGAAGAAGTTGCAACGGTCGACGGCGAGTCTGCACCGCGTTCATAACGACTATGTGTTATCATTACGCGAGGTGATGGCCCACCAGACATGCTACCTAACACAGTCCCTTCCCACCTTCCTGGACACTCAGCAGACCACACAGGAAGCTCTCGTTTATCAATGGTTTGTTTGCTTATGTCCGATACACACAATCTTACAGGGATTTATAGGGCTAACTATGTCCAACGTTGTTGGAGAGGGCTTAAATAGGCAATAATTGGCCAGTTTTTGTCTCGCCGCTACGAAGTAGCGGAAGCGAGACGAAGGTGTTGCTTTTCCGGCGACGGTGGCAGCGTCAACATTTCAGTTTTTGCGTTTAAGTTAGTTTAACTGAAAGTATAAGTACTGCACCAACCAAACTTGGACCATAGATATATCATAGGTAGAACATCTAAACTCATACATCAAATGCTGGATGCAGCCTTACCTTACATGGTCCATTGACTTTGTCAGCATCTACATCAACATTAAGTGTTTAAGTTAGTTTCTCTGAAGCTATAAGTGCTAGACCAACCAAACTTGACATGTGCCTTGATGGAAAGTCGGGGCACAGGCAAGACATATCAATCTGAATGGCTTGTTTATCAATTTGTTGAGATTTCTTTATAATGATTTATTTTATAATTATTCTTTATTCGTTTGTTCTTACCAATTTTTTAAAATTGAAATAACTTAGATTTAGATCAGGGACTAGGTCTACTGGATCTAGCCTGTGTACAACCACCACCCTAGCTGGTTGCTATAGACAGGGATGTATCGTTTCATCATAAAAAATGAAAGTGACAACTTTTCTCTTACAGTAAAGATGTGCTTGCACAGTATCACAGACTGACGAATTTTACCAATGAAGACTTCACAGGTGTGTTCACAACGATCGAAGATTCCATTGAAAACATCGTCCCAGAGAAGGAGTACTCGGACAAGTTCATTTCAGAATTTAGGTAAGGGCTGTTCCAGAAATAACCTAATTCCGTCTTTACGTATTGCAGAGTTATCTTCTCTTGTGAGCAGGTATTGATTGTTACGTCATTGGTTTATGTGACAAAATTACGTCGTTTTCTCAAAAATTGATGACGTTTACTCTCACAAACAAATGACATAACAATCAATACCTGCTCACAAGAGCAGATAACTCTGCAATACGAAAAGACGGAATTGGAGGGGTGGGAGGCACTTTTTCATAGACCGAACTACCCATCAAATATTAAAAGCGATTTTATATCAAGAAAGGTATGTATAGGCAACTCTGTATTTTTAGACCCACCACCATTGATATTATATTACAGGGGCCTCCCATCTCCCCAATACAATTAATTATGGGATAGACTTAATTATTGCTGAGATATATAACCGTTCCCAAAACTCAATGCTTTCTGCAGTCTGTCACAATTAAGTTTGTTTCAGAATTTATCAAATGTGAATGAAATTTTCAACCAATTTTTCGCGATTCTCATATTTTTGTATTACTAATGTCAAGTTATCCCAGGAAAACACTGAACCAATCAAGTAAAAAATGGCATTTGAACAAAGTTCTTCAACTACACAGCACTGTAGCTTCTTAAATTCCTTTATGGAAAAACTGTTCATAGCTATTCCGTCTTTGCGTATTGCAGAGTTATCTGCTCTCGTGAGCAGGTATTGATTGTAACAACAGTCTGAAAGTTGAATATTAAAGAAATTGCTGTGTGACAATATCGTTTATGAAACATCAAGTTTTGATTTTTCCCAACTTATTCTATTATTNCCCCCCCAGAAATAAAAGATAATATTCACACTCAATGGGTACTTCAAAACGCTGTAATTTTAAAATTCTACTAAATGTTACATTTTCGACATGATAATAGGACGCTACACCTGGGCCCGTATTTATGAATCATTCTCATATGCTCAAGCATGGATTCTGTGCTCGAACCAACTTTCTTGTAAATCGCTTAAATCATGTCAGACGATCAAAAAGTCAATTGTAAACATTGAAAACAGTACTTGGCTTCAAGCTAAGTCTCATCCAATTTTTTCCTAATCGTTGACAAAAGAAGATTTGTTTATTAATTTATAATTATATAATCAGAACAAGAAATTAGGCTTGAGCACAAAATCCATGCTTGAACGATTTCATGAATACAGGCCCAGGTAACAATAGGCCTAGCCAAACAACAGCTGTAAGAATCATATTATCGCATTCAAATTTTTAATACTCTCATATGTTTGGAGATTTCGATTTTTTTTTTTTAAATAATTTTTATTTGTTCTTCCAGGAGTGACCCTATAGAAGCTACAACATTCGAGTTTGACTCCGGTCTCCTTGACGATTACCAGGGAACGTTAGTGGAAAAAAACTTAGCTGTGGACGATCTAACTCACGACACGCTCAAAGCTAGGTCAGTGTCGATGTCCGGCGGAATCGAATCACCAATCCAGTTCTAGTGTGACTATTCCAGTGTAATTACATACAAATATGGCAGCTTAGAAAATAAACACCTACTGTCACTCGGCAAATAAATTTGATGACCTCTGATTGGCTAATCAGCAAATCGTAAATTCCTTCAAACTCCGGCATTGACAGGTTTTTAAATGTTCATGTGCCAAGGTGAATCAATTGCACATCTGGTTAATTGTCGTCTGCTGAAGACTAAGATGGCAACTGAAGGATTTGAAGAACATTCCCTTGAGAACATGGTTGCAAAAACTACGAGGATTATGTTTTAAGTTTGAATAACCCAGTGCTTAGGTTAAAACATTTAAATTTAGCTGAAACAGCATTTCGTCTAATAGCTCACAAAAAGTGACTGTATACCGATTTTTTTTTTAAATATTCCGAAAAGATTTATCAAAATTATATTCATGCCAAAAAAAACCAGTTTCCATTGCACAGTTACTGATTGATCCTTAACCCTTTCACCACTGTAGACCATAATTGACTCATCCAGATGAATGCATGGAAGAGTCTACTTAAGTTTCTTAGGGGTGAAAGGGTTAAAATTCATTCATTCAAATTTAAATTCATTGCAGTTAGGAGTTTAATAATGGTCTCTTCACACAGGTTTAATGGTACGATACGTTTTCACGCCCTCTTTGGTAATGAGTTACTGATTGTCTGTCAACCTGTTCAACTTGTTTTTTTTTACAGACTAGCATCACTAGAAGATGACTTGGCGTCCCTTCAGAAAAGTTTGAAGGACAAGGAGCCGAAAGTCAAGGATATGGACGACCAGCTAGCAGATCTTAAGGAAAAAAGCAAAACAGATGTATTAGTGAAACCGGAGTAAGTGACATGGGTTTTACTCAGAATTGTAGATTCTCCGTAGATACTCTATGTTAGATGGTGTTCTCCGTAGATACTCTATGTAAGATGGTTTTCTCCGTAGATACTCTATGTAAGATGGTGTTCTCCATAGATACTCTATGTTAGATGGTGTTCTCCGTAGATACTCTTTGTAAGATGGTTTTTTCCGTAGATACTCTATGTAAGATGGTGTTCTCCATAGATCCTCTATGTTAGATGGTGTTCTCCGTAGATACTCTTTGTAAGATGGTTTTTTCCGTAGATACTCTATGTAAGATGGTGTTCTCCATAGATGCTCTATGTTAGATGGTGTTCTCCGTAGATACTCTTTGTAAGATGGTTTTTTCCGTAGATACTCTATGTAAGATGGTGTTCTCCGTAGATACACTATGTAAGATGGTGTTCTCCATAGATACTCTATGTTAGATTGTGTTCTCCGTAGATACTCTATGTTAGATGGTGTTCTCCATATATACTCTATGTTAGATGGTGTTCTCCGTAGATACTCTTTGTAAGATGGTTTTTTCCGTAGATACTCTATGTAAGATGGTGTTCTCCATAGATACTCTATGTTAGATAGTGTTCTCCGTAGATACTCTATGTTAGATGGTGTTCTCCATATATACTCTATGTTAGATGGTGTTCTCCGTAGATTCTCTATGTAAGATGGTGTTCTCCATAGATACTCTATGTTAGATAGTGTTCTCCGTAGATACTCTATGTAAGATGGGGTTCTCCATAGATACTCTATGTAAGATGGTGTTCTCCGTAGATACTCTATGTAAGATGGTGTTTGTTGTGATCCCCGTTAAATAAAGGGTGGTGCAGTGGATAACGCACCACGGCGACCGGGGTTCGATTCCCTCGTCGGACATGAAAGGGATTGGGGTCTCCTGGCCAACCATATGAGTTTTGTAAGGGTACTCCGGTTTCCTCCTACAGTAAGACAGATCCCATGCTAACATCCGGGCCAACAATAATGTTAATATAATTAGTTGAAATAACTTGTTTCATAATTGTTGTAAAATAGATAAAGTTCATATTTATATACATGAGGGACCAACCATCTCTGTCGTCTCTCTGTTTTTCCATCTGAATATTTAAATTTTGTTGGAAAGAAATTTTCAGTAATTTCACTTGTAAAGCAATAATTTCTATTTTATTGACTTTTGCTTATTAAACCCCCCCAAAAATCAAAATAACAGGTGAATGGATTGTTTTGATGCTATTAACCCCTTCACCACTGGAAAAAACATAATGGACTCATCCAGATCAATGCAAGGTAGAGTCTACGAAAGTAATAAAGGGGGGAATGGGTTAAGAGTGAACATGTTTGCCAGTTACTATATATAATAATCTGTACGAAATTGCTAAAAAAAAAAATATCTGTTCGTTAAAATATTTTTTAATGTATGAATTATTTATTCAGACTCGCCAAACAGAAACGAGACCGCGATAAAGCCTTTTACGAGCTGACTGTGATAACAGCCAAGGTCGCGACCTTACAGGAAACGGCAACGACATTAATGAATGACCTGGATGCAGTAGGAGATGACATTCCTTCGGCCATGTTGGATTCCAGTATGGTCGCCGATCGCCAGTCTATTAGTGATCTGTCCTCGTCTGTAAGTTCACTTTCACATCAGTTTCATTTCCAATTGGTGGTTTGACAATAATATCTAGAATAATTAAAGAAACTTTTTACTGATAATGATAGAATCAGTTAAGAGCAGCCTTGAAATTCAAGGGCTCTAATCATGACACACATATCTTCTCTACACTCCTTGAATCATCCTCGATATCCAGGGGTCACTCACTTTCGCTCTCTGTACCCTTTGAATATGTCATAGCAAAATTGAAGGCTCGGTGGGCGCTTCCTTGTGGATGAGTCATGAAGACTAGTTTGATCCTTTGATTTACATCAAAAGAATCTCGCAATCGCATAACAGTAAAACTTCCTGGCTTTGAAGTCGGGCGTCGCTCCTCTGTAATCTTCAAAGGACAGGTATCAGCCTAGTAATTGGTCAGACCAATCAAATAGCTAGCCACGTGCCTTCAATTTTATTACGACATATTCCAGGGGTGTAGAGAACGAAAGTGATCGTAACCCCTGGATATTGAGGATGCCCTTGAACAGGTCATCGCAAAATTGAAAACTCTTTACACATCAACTTGTGATTAAAGGAATTTAATAGTGTTGTGCCCTACCAAAGGCAAAATTGACAGACTTTGAAGTTTGATGTACCTTCTCTGTGAAATCTTCAAATATGTGTATCAACCTATTGATTGATTGATTTGATTGATTGATTTGATTGATTGATTGATTGATTGATTTTACGTCCGCTTCACTACCGAGTAGTGATTGATTTGATTGATTGATTTGATTGATTGATTGATTGATTTTACGTCCGCTTCACTACCGAGTAGTTCGGTTATCCAGCAGACGAACAAAATATAAGAAAATGAGTAGAAGGGATAAAGTTGGTAGTGAAGGAACAGAAAAGGATGTTTGGGAAAGAAGGAGCCGTCTATCCAATGTGTACTAACTTTCAATTTTTATTTTTGTGAGACGACTCCTAGGCCTCAGAGAATTATTTTCCTCTTAAATCTGTTTTATTGTACAAAGAAAACATTATGTGGCAGCCCTTTATTGAAGGCTGTTGAATCATACAGAAATCATTTTATAGCAATGTTTCATAAAAATAAATCACAAATATCATTACCTGTCGTGCAGTGGAAATAGCTCCCTGCTTTATAATGAAGAGGCCCATTGATTGAATCCTGCAGCAAAGCCGAAATATTTCTGTGAAAAAGGAAATTGTAATTAGCTATATTTCCTTTGTGTGTACCTTTTTGCTATGGTAAATTGGCAAGAAAGTCCAAATGAGATAATGTGTGTACCTTTTTGCTATGGTAAATTGGCAAGAAAGTCCAAATTAGATAATGCTGAAAAAAATGGAACTCTTCTTTGTAGGAGATAGAAAACAGCGCAGTGGGACTCTCCTCCTTAATGGTTTGCAATTGTTCAGTTCTAATATAGTAATGAAGAATTGTTGGAGTTTGAATGCGAAAGTTTTGAAACTAATGGGGGAAATTTGACTAATTTGGGGGAAAATACTAAAAATAAAGCTTTTTAAAATGGCTTAATCTGTGCCGATTCTGTATGTTTTTGCTCTAACTTGTGTTTTTCTTTAGCCTACAACACTCATGCTTCACACGGGCTTAATGAAATGGGATAGTGTTGGGTTCATTTAAGGTCAGAAGGGTTAAAGGTCAACGTCACCTTTGCTATGTATGAACTTTAAGCTAGATAAAGATACAATTGCTGAATGATTTTGTAACTGTGAGATAGACTATAATAAAATTATTCATATTGATCGGGACAAATGTTTATTTGATTTGGATATATAAGCATAAATGCTTGCGTCCAGTATTATTATATTCTATTTTATTAAATGTAAGTTAAGATCGGTGAATTATTGACCAGTATTAAATAAATATATGAATAAATGACAAAAAAAAAAAAATCAGAACTTTTAAAAATACATTATCTCAGTTTTTAAAACACTGTTATTCAGAAGACTATTTAATAAATAGTGCAGGGTATAAATTTACAAAATGTAAGCAAAACCACAAAGATTTTGCCAACTTTGAGTGTGTTTTCTATTAACTTTTTCTGTACTGTTGCTTAATTATAGAAATTATCCATGAAATCATTTGTGAATTAGGTTCCTTGTAAATCATCTCAATTATAAAGTGATTCACATACCTGATTACCCCTGAATCGCCCAATGGGGGTCATGACCCCCATTGTGAAATTCTGTGGGGGGTGATAACACATGACAGAATTTTCACGTCAAAATAAAACATTTTGTGTTGTCACGGCATAACACATTATGTGTCTTCTGGTATTATTTAGGACATTTTATTTTCTAAATAACTGTAACAAATCTTACCTGCAGGTAGTTTGAGTTAACTCATTCACCCCTGACATTTTATAATGATCTATTCCAACTATTGAATTGGAAGAGTTCAAATGTGTCTTCAGGGGTGAATGAGTTAATTGTAGAAAACTAGGCATCTTGCATCATTGATGCCTGCTGGAAGCATGAACTCATCTATAAGCTCCTCTATCTGTTTTTCAATCTCATCTTTATGTTCTACATTTGGAATCTGACTACCAGGTTGGAAACTGGAAGAAAAAAAAATAAAAAAAATATGCATTTATGTTAAATACAGGTATTTGTATTAGTATAACATCTGGGTACACTCAAATTTGTACGATTGCATGCAAATTTTCAAGCAATCTCACAATCAATATCAGAAGCATTTTTATGCAGATTTTGGTAAAATGATCATTCATACTAATACACATAATATTGAGGATCCCTGTACCACTGCCCAACAAGTACTGTAGCTAATTGGTGTCGGAAACTATGTTTTCCACTATAACTATAAGGTTTTATAATCATTTGAAAAGAAAAAATATACATTGCAGGATATTGTGAGAAATAAAAGGTATGAAATGTAAATCAAAATAAATGTTCAAAGTTTAAAAATTTCAACGCGGCCAGACAAAGTTTCGAACCCTGGACCTCGGATTGTTCTACTTACGCTTTAAACGATTGAGCTACCTGGTGAACATGATCAACAGAAGCTATAGTTATATCCAAACAGAAGTTAAGGGGAGGTAACTATGTAAAGGAAAATCACAGTGAACTGGGACAGGGATCCTTCAGATGATACTCTCTCTTGAGTGAACATGAACCACTATAGTCTGTATCATAAAAGCGTTCAGATGATACTCTCTCTTGAGTGAACATGAACCACTATAGTCTGTATCATAAAAGCATAGTCTCATGATTGAACATGATATTCCCTCACATGGACCAGAATATAGTCTGTATCATAAAAGTGCAACTCTCTTTCAGTGAAAAGTTTTTTATCATTCTATATGTAAATGTGTATTGACTAGATAAACCTTTCAGCCTCCGACCTCGTCTCCACTGCCGGGCGTCAGTAAACTCAAGAACCTTAAACGTCACATGACAGGCGTGCTACAACGACGTCAGGGGCAAGACAAAGAAGAGCGTGAACCGGAAAAAGTTCACAGCTACGAGGAACAGTCACTGGACCATCTAAACGGTCCGGGTCTGTCTAGTACAAACAGTGACACGGTGAGTGGACTCTGTTAAGGTAATAGGCGCGTGCGACAAAATTCACTGGTAACAGATTGTTTAACGTGTGTCATATATCATGTTGTCGAATGCAATTATTTTATAAAACAGGGGAAAATAACATAAATTATCATATTGTTAATGAGGAAACAATTAACTCATTCACCCCTGAAGACACATTTGAACTCTTCCAATTTAAAATTTGGAATAGTTCATTATAAAATTTCAGGGGTGAATGAGTTAATTAGAAGAAAAAAAATTGGCACTGTTGTTTTGAACTGCAATACAATCTTAGAACATTATAGATTAACCTGCGTTTTATGAAACACTTAAAAGCATATTTTCCAAAGAAGTCATACATTTAAAAAATGTACAGTAATTACTGGGTATTTCTTTAAATTAATACCTATATCAAACAAAACCCCTAAATATATTTGCTCCGAAAAAGATTATGAATTTTATTCAAATTTTGACAACCTACACCTATCGGATTAAACAAATTAAATTAGTAAGTATGAATAATAATGTCGCCAAACTTTAAGGAAAATATAAAAAAAAAATTGTGCTATTAATTAAAAAAATGTTTCTATCTGATTTCTCTGTTTAAAAAGAAAAAAGTTCACATGGGGAAACCTTATATTTGAATACAAAATTTATGAAATGTAAAATGTCCTAAATATGTTTTGCCCAAAACATAATGAATTTAATTCAAAAGTTTACAAAGTACATTTAACAGATTAAGCAAATTAAAGGCAATTATCAATAGCAATGTCACCAAACTTTAAGGAAAATTAAAACAAAAATGTTTCTTTATGATTTCTCTGTTTAACCCTTTCACCCCTATGTAACTTTAGTAGACTCTACCATGCATTGATCTGGATGAGTCCATTATGGTCGACAGTGGTGAAAGGATTGAAAAGAAAAATTTCACACAGCTAATCCTACATTTGAATACAATATATACCTGGAACTTTTCTCCCAATCAAATTTTTTGACCTTCGATAGTAAAATCAATTTTCGGCAAATATTAAATTTTCCCGTTTCATATTATGTTGTTTAAAAATGTTCGCTGTAATGATAAATTCACCCTCATTAATTACTGAGGACAGAAAAGGCAAAAAAAAATTGCAGTGAAAATTTCCAGTACACAGTATAAGTTGGTGACAGCTAGGTGCTTGCTGCCAAGTTTCTGGAACACTGACTGTACTTAGCTAATATTGCAATTCATCAGATGCTTGGCTGAGACAGCTTATAAATCATAGCAAACAAACGTTTTAATGACTTAAATTCTATACAGTTTGAAGTTAGGAAAAGCAGTGCTACTCAATATCAAGTGGTATCTCTCTCATGCAGTCATGACCCTAACAATGTACAATAGTACTAGTGCTGATTAAAAACTGCCTGTCTTAGCAATGGCGCAATCACACTTTTGTTTTTTCTGATTTTAACACTCATCAAAAGGCGGCAAATAAACTGTTTGATAGTTTGTTTATGAAGAAGATTCATGGCTCAGCTGTGATCATGTTGCAGAATCTTAGCCCACGACTGAGGTAACCCCATCTCGCTCATGATCAGTTACCGGTACATGTAATAGATTTTATTAGTCATGTGTTATATATTCTAGTAGGGCAGACAGACGTGATGTCAATTTTGTGTTTTATGCTCTGGTAGGGTGCTGAGGCCCTGGCTGACCCCAGTCGACCATTAGAAGAAGAGGAATGGTTTCATGGCGTCCTACCGCGTGAAGAAGTACAGCGTCTCCTGTCCAATGATGGAGATTTCCTCGTAAGGGAGAGCAAGAACCGGAAAACTAATGAAACACAATATGTACTTTCTGTTGGCTGGCAGGGATACAAACACTTCATAATACAGTACGGGGAGGTCAGTGTGAAATTCAATTACGCTTTTGTTGTTTTGATCCGTGATATTTATATATGTGTCAAATATTTGCTGCGTTAATTTCGTGGCAGTCTTATTTTTGCGCTTTTTGCGGAAGGATTTAACTGTGAAGTCAAGAAGGCAGCGAAAGTGTCAAGTTCCAGAAATTATTTTAAGATCAAGATCAATAGCTTAAGGATGCTCGTACCACTCCACTGTTGTTTGTCCTATATACAATTACCTCCCCTTAATAAGAGTAGCACTGTTTGGCTAGGCTACTTCCGCCAATCGCCAGTGAACCTTGTAACGTCAGTGTTTTAATCCCCCCGCCATAAAATGGGGGGTGGGTGGGGGGCATATAGTATTACCCATGTCCGTCCGGTCTTGTCCCGTCCTGTTCCGTCCCGTCCCATCCATGAGCGGTGGCATTTATGTCTTGCAGACATTTTTAGGTCACCTGAGCTTTGCTCAAGTGACCTATTCTAATCGCTTTCCGTCCGTCGTCGTCCGTCGTCGTCCGTCCGCCGTCGTGTGACGTACTTAAACTTTTTACATTTTCAACTTCTCCTCAAAAACCAGTGANCCGACCCCTGGGGCAGGGCGGGGCCCCAAAGGGAAAATTAACCAATATTTCAACAATCTTCTTCCCCAGACTCGGATGTACTACAGTCATTTTCTCTGCATGGATGGAAAGATCATCATGGCCTTTATTTAAATTGTACATTTCAGGACCCCCAAGCTATCCGTTCTCCCTTGGGGAGGGGGTAAAGTTTACTTTAGTTTATATAGGGAAACAACACTTTTGGGTATATTTTGACAATTTTCTGTAGGAATATTATTTTTACTTGGTGAGAATTATCCTTGGAGGAAGATGGTTTCAAATTGTAAAATTGAGATTCCTGCCCAAACCCCTTGGGCAAGGGCTGGGCCCCAGAGGGAAAATTAACCAATATTTCAAAATTATGTTTTGTCGACAGGGAGGCTGGCGTTTCGAGGGGCCGTCCTTTCCCACAATTCATGAGTTGGTGAAATACCAGCATAAGATTGGGACAGATGTGACAAGTAAATCCAGGGCAATCCTAAAGAAACCAATCCTCCGTGAACAGTGGCAGCTCAAAAACGACGACATCGCTCTTGAGATGAAAATTGGAAATGTATGTAACTTACAATTTTATTGACATTGAATAGAAAAAAATATTGGGATATGTACTGAAAATAACCAGTAATATGCAGTTGTTTCAAGATTTTTTAAACTGATTTCTTTTTAAAGAGTTCAAAGAACGAAGAGATGTCAAGAATTTTTAAAGTATTTTAGACTTGGAGATTTGTTGCCAGAGACGGTTACTAAAAATAAAATTTTACAGAAAATGTTTTTAGCTCACCTGCCCGAAGTGCAAGTGAGCTTATGCCATGGTGCATCGTCCGTCGTCCTTCCATCCATCGTCTGTCTATCCGGCGTCAACTTTTTACTTTAAACAACTTCTTTTCATTAACCAAAAGGCCTGGGATGATGATATTAGGCCAGTAGCACTCTGGAATGAAGGGCTACCAAGTTTGTTCAAATGAATGACCTTCATCCATTTTCAAGGTCACAGGGGTCAAATATGTTTAAATCTTTGAATGACTTCTTCTGAATAACCAAGAGGCATAGGGTGATGCTATTTGGCCAGTAACATGCTGGAATGAAGGGCTACCAAGTTTGTTCAAATGAATGACCTTGACCTATATACAAGGTCACAGGGTTCAAATATGTTTAAAACATTTAAACAACTTCTTCTGAATAACCAAGAGGCCTAGGGTGATGATAGTTGGCCAGTAACATGCTGGGATGAAGGGCTAACAAGTTTGTTCAAATGAATGACCTTGACCTCTATTTAAGGTCACAGAGATCAAATATGTTTAAAACATTTAAACAGCGTCTTATGAATAACCCAAAGGCCTAGGGTGCTTAAATTTGACCAGTAACATGCTGGGAATGAAAGGCTACCAAGTTTGTTCAAATGCATGACCTTGGCATATATTCAAGGTCACAGGGGTCAAATATGTTTAAAACCTTTCAATGACTTCTTAATAAGCAAAATGCCAAGGGTGATGATATTTTGCTAGAAGCATGCTTGGTTGGAAGACTATAAACTCTGTTCAACCTAATGTCCTTGTTCGACATTCAAGGTCATGGGTTATATGTTTAAATCTTTTAATAGGTTTTCATGATTCAAAAACTGATATTCTTCCTGTAGTTGTTTTTTAGTCCACTTTTAAGATTACAAGTGTGAGATCCACCAGTGTGGGATGGTCGACCAGGTGAGCGATTCAGGCCCATTGGGCCTCTTGTTTGATATTACAGCAGCCATATATCTGGACACTTTTCATGAAACTTTATACATGTACACATTTTCATTTGACATACATGTATTACATGTACAATTGAGAAGTGTCAAGATGGTTTCACATCAGTCAAAGGTCAAAATCACTGCAATAAAGACACATTTGTCAATGGCCATACATATTGACAGATTTTCATGTAGTTTTAAATGCATTTTTCATTGGGCACTTCCAATATGGTTGACAATGGTCCAAAGTCAAGGTCACTGTTACTAAAACTAATAGCTTATAGTGAATTTCAAAAGTGCCTGTAATTGTAACAACAAAATACATCTTGATATTACAGTATCTTGTACAGGTTTTAAGAATCCATCTTCGTGAAGTCAAAATATAGTCTTTTAACACAGGTGTTCTATTAACACAGGTGGTCTCTTAACACAGGTTTGGTTCATAAGGAAATCACTACGATGGGGAACAGTTGAAGTGGTCTCTTAACACAGGTGGTCTCTTAACACAGGCAGTCCCTTAACACAGGTGGTCCCTTAACACAGGTGGTCTCTTAATTACAGGTTCAGTTCATAAGGAAATCACTACAATGGGGAGCAGTTGATCAGGTGGTCTTTTAACTCATTGAACCCTAAAATTTCATAATGAACTATTCTAACCTTTGAAATTGGAAGAGTTCAAATGTGTCTTCAGGGTTAAATGAGTTAATAGAGGTACACTGTAGTTTGATGAGGAGGTGTGACCAAGTAGCTGAGTTGGTTAGAGTGTCTGTCTAGAGTTCACCGGTTCAAATCCCAGTCTGACTGTTACAATTTGCCTTTTCCATTATATCTGATGCCCAGGTCGGACTCTGAATTGCTCTAGAACATTGCTGCAGTAATCCTAAGGTCAAATGGGTCTTCTAACTTTCTGTCGTTATTTCAACAGGGTAACTTTGGCGAGGTTTACCGTGGAATATACAAGTCAGGGAACCAGACTGTGGCGGTGAAGACGTGCAAGGACACGTTGTCCGAGGATCAACGCAAGAAGTTCCTCATGGAGGGACGAATCCTGAAACAGTACGACCATCCAAACATCGTCAGGTTTATCGGGATCGCCGCCCAGCGACAACCGGTGATGATCGTGATGGAGTATGTTGCTGGTATGTTGTGTCCTATCATATCTGTCCATAGAGGTCAGATATCACTAGTAATAGAGTGTTTTACTGACTAGATATGATATTAATCTGGTTCCCCTAAGAAATTAGAAAAATAAAAAAAATTGTCTTTAAACATCTAAGGACCATATCTTTTTCTGGGCTAATTTTAATCAAGCATTGTCATTGGTCAGTTTGAAACAAAGTATCATTTTAACTTGAAAAAATACTAATTTTACTGACCGTAATTTTCTTGAGAGCTCAAATTGTAAACAACAGTTTTCTTTTGTGTAGAGGGGCCAATTGGCCATGAAATTATTTGCAAATTACTATTTCGCCAAGTAAAATATTCGTTCGTCACTAGTAAAATCGTTTTTTACCCAGTGTTATTTTTGGCCTTCATATGTAATAACTTTATGTCATATTCTGCTGGGTACTTATATTCACTCTCATGACAAACTTGCACTTGTGGAGAACAAAATATTTGCTCTCATGATAAACTTGGGCTCGTTGTGGAGGGCACGAATATCCACACTCATGATAAATTTGGGCTCGTTGTGGAGGGCACGAATATCCACACTCATGATAAACTTGGGCTCGTTGTGGAGGGCGTGAATATTCACACTCATGATAAATTTGGGCTGGTTGTGGAGGGCACGAATAATGACACTCATGATAATTTTGGGCTGGTTGTGGAGGGCACGAATAATGACACTCATGATAAATTTGGGCTCGTTGTGGAGGGCATGAATAATGACACTCATGATAAATTTGGGCTCGTTGTGGAGGGCACGAATAATGACACTCATGATAAATTTGGGCTCGTTGTGGAGGGCATGAATAATGACACTCATGATAATTTTGGGCTGGTTGTTGAGGGCAAAATATTCACTCTCATTATAAATTTGAATGCATTTGATCATAACGTAAACATAAGTCAAAATGTGTGTATAGTATTTCTAAACATTTTCTTCAGGTTGGAAAGTATGGATTGTGAAAAGGTTTATGTAGCACAACCAAAAAGTGTTTATTTGTGATGCCTCAATGACTAGTACGGTATGTACTCTGTCACCTCCATCATACAAATGACCAGTGAAGCGTATGTTTGTACACATAGGTGTAAAATATGTACAAGTTGTCCACAAACCGATGTCAATTCAGCTGCGCAGTAAGCGTATGTACTATATCTTTTCACAATCTGTGTATTCCGTCTTTGCGTATTGCAGAGTTATCTTCTCTTGTGAGCAGGTATTGATTGTTATGTCATCGGTTTGTGTGAGAAAATTACGTCGTTTTCTCAAAAATTGATGACGTTACTCTCACAAACAAATGACGTAACAATCAATACCCGCTCACAAGAGAAGATAACTCTGCAATATGCAAAGACGGAATAGTGAACCAATCGCACAACTTTGTAAGGTTCTCGTGAACTTCGTTATAAGCCTGCTTTTATAACGTAATTAAGAAAGCTTTTTGTCTGTCAGGTGGTGCTCTACTCTCCTACCTCAGAAAGCAAGGAAAACACCAAACCAAGAAACAGCTCACGCAGATGTGTGAGGACGCGTCGAAGGGCATGGCATACTTAGAGAGCAAGAGCTGCATTCACAGGTAAATGTCTCCCGTGGTTACCCTCATGGAAACCTCAAATGTAACAGTTAAGGATGTATGTCATTGTACTGTAATTTGCATCTTAATTATAAAAGAGTTCCATCCTCAGAAACTTAGAAAATGTTTTCAAAAATAATTTCATCAGTTTGGAAATATGTAATATTAAAGTTTTACTTTATACACAAACATTATACACTATTGTATACACTCTCTATGATGATAGGGAAACGGCCTGGGTCATATGACAAATGAAATATACAATTTAGCCACATCGTTGAACAGGTAAACATTACAAATCGCTCACTCCTTCATAGATTCACAAAGGGACAAGACTGTCTTGAAATTTTGCAAAACATTTAATATGCACATTTTTTTGTGTATAAAGTAAAACTTTGATACTTTGAAAATGTTTTCATGAGTTTCTAAGAGGAACAGCAATAAAAAATTATTGTTATTATTGTTATATATGCTATGCAGTCAGTAAAACCAGGGGCCGTATTCATAGACTCGTTCTCTTGATCAATCTAAGATTCTGTACTCCAGCCCAATTTCTTGTTCTAGTGATCACATTTTGTCACTGATTTGGAAGAATTTTGAGAGATTAAAACCTAACCTTCA